AGGGTCCCCATCCCACTGTCCCCCTCCCATCCACTCCCTCTCCTCTTCTGCCCCCCCCCCCCAACACACACACACTTTTTTCCCTTTGCAGAGAGTCTCAGTGTACTCCCTAACTTGCTGGCACCAGGTGGGAATCATACCCAGGCTCCCACCTAATAATGTAGAGTGTGAAAAGAGGAAGAGAATAGTTCCTGTGGTGACTACAAAGGGCCTGTTCCTAGCAGCTCTGCAGGAGCAGCTGGTGCAAGTCAGAAGCCATTTCCTCTGTTGTTTCCAAGCCCAGATTCTCTAGGGGAACAGTAAGGGTGGTGATAACCAGCAAAGGCAAAGGGGCAGCATGCAAACGTGAGCATTGTGGGCCTTAAGACGTGTCAGTGTTGCTGGATAGGAAAGAACTGCATTGTTTTCTGCCTCCCACGTCAACATAGCAACCCCATATTGCAGCATATCATACTGGCACTGCACCATATTGCTTGTGGGGCTGGCAGCCTTCTTGGCTAGTACTAGGTAGAGAATTGGAGGCTGTCAGAGATAAAAGGAGGAAACTCTGCAGCTTGTGTGACAAACCTAGGCTCTCAGGCTAGGGACAGACATTCAAAAAGCCTGAGCCTGAATTGATTCAATCTTTGCAGGTTAGTCTAACCCAGTACATGGGATTTCCCTCCCATGCTATGCAAGTGCAGGGACTGCCCATGAGTGGCAGGGAACACAGGCAAAATATGGCCCACAGGCCAGATGCAACCCTCTAAGCACTTTTATCTGGCCTGCAGGGCCCCCCAACAAATTGCATCCCGCCCAGCCCTTCCACCCATAGGGTGGGAGCGAGACAGCCACATATACACACAGCCCAAAAATGTACCCTGTTACCTGGCTTCCACCCTCATGCATGGAAGGGCCCAGCCAGCCAGCATGCAGCTTCTGTGCAGGGCTGCTTCTGCTGCTGCTGCAGCCCCCAAGGACCTGCTCTGCTTCCCTGGTCTCCTGCTCACTCTGGGCAGCAGGTAGGGAAGCAGCAGGGGTGGGGCTCCATCTGGGAGGGAGCACAGAGTGTGGGGCTAGTGCTGGTGGCAGCGCAGAGCTCACACCCAGGGGGGCAGGGGGCAGTAGCAGCATACAGCTGAGGTGGGTAGTGTGTGGGTGTGAAGGAGAATGGGGGGTGTAGAGATACCCCACTCTTCCCCCATGGCATGCAGCCCTGGCAGACAGTGGCAGCAGCAGCAGGCGGGGCACTCAGGACACAGGTGCCCAGTGGGGCTCAGCCCCTGCCAGCGCTGCCTCTGCTGGGCTGTCTGTATCACCAGTGCTCCCTGCCACTCACTCACAGCCCCTGCGCTTGCATAGCATAGGAGGGAAGCCCCACGTACTAGAGCCGGTTGCCTTCCCCCGTGCAGCTCTTGACAGCTCAACAAAACTTGTTAAGCGACCCTCCACCCAAAATAATTGCCTGCCCGAGGTCTAACCTCCCTAGGCTGAACCAGTTTGCAAGTGAACAGACATTCCCTCTGAACTGAGAAAATGCAGGCATGTGCCTGCACTGGCTCAGGCTAGAAGCCAGGGGACGCTACAACAACCCACCCTTCCCTTCTACAGTGCTGAGTTGAGGGGAGGCATCACCAGGCCAGGGCAGGACACTTTGATTAGGGAGGGGTTTAAACCCCCACCCTGGTCTGCACAGTCCCAGGATTTTCCCTGCTCGCTGCTCAAGGAGCAGGAGTGTTGCCAGCCCCCAGCTAGCACTCTGAGGCAAAGGGTATGTGTGCAGTACATGCATCTGTTGATGATACTGAGCTTTTCAACCTCCCTCTTCCTGCTTCTTCCTACTGTCTGCAGCAAACCTGACAGGCGAGGGAGCCAGCAGGGAGCTGATAACACAGCGTTTATCAGCTCATCAAGGAAACAAAAGCCTTTCTTATTAGTTCAAGCTCTTCTTAAACAGTTTTTTTCCAAGGAAAGAACAGAGAAACATTACCAGCTCACCTGTTGATTAGCTCTAAAAAGCCATAAGCGGACACTGTCCAGTCTTCCTTTGTCCTGTCCCAGTGAAATTGGAGACACACACACACAGACACGCTTGAGCAATGAACAGCGGGGGGGGGAGGGGATGACACTGAGGGAAGCTGGGGTGGGGAGGGGCACTGGGGGAAGCCAGGCAGACCCTTCTGTGCCTTCAGTCTCTGCCAGAGCTCTGGCTAGGGAGCAGAGGGGTGGGGCCAGCCCCAGTCTCTGGAGTGCTGCAAAGCAAAAAATTTCTGATCACTTAAACCAGTTTGAGTGTAATATCTGTCCCTACCCTCAAGCCACAATCATCTCCTCTGGAGGTGCCAGACTCAGAGGGGCAGAGGTCATGCTGTACAAGAGAGGTCAGGGGCCAAGAGCTTTCCTCTTGTGTTCTTCTACCCTCCCTGACTTGCCCATGTTCTTGCTAAAGAGAAATCAAGCAGATCCTGATTTCTGTGAATTTTGTGATTGACCAGGCCACTCTTGGAGTGTGCTTGGCTTGTCTACTTAATTTGGTCCAAGCTGTGAGACCTTCACTCCTATCATGGAGCACCTACTCACTCGATGGTCCTAACAAGTCACCAGTGTGCATAAGGAGCATACTGTCTAGTCTATAAGAAGTACACACAGTAAGAAGGTTCACTAATGAGGTCAGAACATCCCTAAGGGCTATTATAGGTTCTTAAGCTGCAAAGGACAAATTGAATACGAGGCACAGTCACAAACAGAATTTTCCCCTGAAGGGCATATATGTGATCTAGAATCATCTAGTGGTGTGTTCAGCCCTGCACAGCCTTTCTCCCCATCACATTATGTTGCATGCATTTGTTGCATCTTCTTGGAGTAGATTACAAACCAGGGATAGTGTCTTCTGATGTGGTATGTGTTACTAAGCAAGGAGGTGTTCTGACCCTGATTGGGCTGCAGAACATTGAAACTTTATACAATAGGGTGCAAATGGCATACCATATGATAATAATAAATTGCCACAGGCAGTGGGGGAGGTGTTTCCCTTCCTCTGAGCAAGATGGATTGATTAATGGTCCTGTGTCCCACTGGCTAAATCCCATTAGCACACTGTCTGTATGAAAGCCCAGCATCCATTCTAGTGACTGGTCCATAAAATGCTGAGTTCTTCCTTGCCCCGTTCCCTTTCTTGTCTGCTTTGGATAAACACCTTCCATCTCAGAAATCCCCAGAAGATTGAACCTGCTTATATACGGCCTGATTTAGTTGGAGGCATTCCCCATGTTCTGCATTAAATAACTGGTGATAGATTCCTCAATAAAGGCCAAAGACCATGACAGCAGTAATCCATTCCCTCCACAGTTCCAGCCCTAGTTACAGCAAATGGCTTGGCAACCGGTCGAAAGGCAGCTGATGATGACTAAAAAGACAGGCGGTTACCATAGCCGAGCGGGTGTCCAGTTACAGAGCTAAAAAGAGGCAATGAGTGCAGCCTTACATGGGAGACTGTAAGGAGACAGTTTCAGGATGAGCCAGTACCAGGGACCCTGACTAGATCAAAGTGAAACAGGCAAAGAAAGAAAGAAGTATGAAAGCCAACAGTAAAATCCCCCAGAGAATGACAGTGGCTGCTTCCCAAGGGAAAGTGACTTACTGAAAGCACTCTCAGCAAAATGTATTACCCCTCCTTCTGCTCAACTGCTTTTTCCCCAGCATGCTCAGTTTTCAGGAAATCCCTTCTGAAGTTACTTTAAATATAAACATGTTAGTTTCAAAAGCTTCCTTTATATCTTTCTTTTGCTTTTCTTATTGGTAGAAAAAAATAGTCCTTGTGTGTGGCCAGGGAAAGCACTAGCAGAAATCAGCTTCCCAAATGCCATGACACAGAAGAGTTAGAACATGAGCTTCCAGCACCAAAACCATTCTTCTTATTAATTTAATGTAAAGAAAAGAAGGGGTCATAAAATTGCTGCTGTCCCAGCATTTAGAGTTTTCCAAAGCAAAACCCATTTATTTTAATAGGACTTTTACTCTTAAGTCATATAGACACTTTCGGAAGTCCCACCCTCATTCAGTCATTTCCCTGTTTTTCTGTTTTTGTTCTTTTGTCTCCATGTAGCAGAATGTGTGACACTTTTGCCCAGTGCTATAGCAACAGCCTGAAAGGCCCCCCAGCTTCCCCTGTCCTCCCTAGCACAGTGATATGCCTCCAAATCAGCCAGGCCCTCTCCCCTCCACCTCCATTTCTCCTGCCTTTGTGTACAAGTGATGTGGGGAACAAGGTAGCTCTTAAAAGCCTACATTACAACACAACAGTTTTTGTCAGGCTTTTGGCAACTACATCAAAATGTACAGGGTGAGGGGGGTGTGAGGAGGAGAAGCAGAAAGGGAAGGGGAAGGGAGCGCTATACCCTGCCTCCTACCAAAGAGCACCTTAGTCCCCATGGGCTCCAGCAAAACTAGCAATGCAGTCCTGAGCATGGACAAAGGTGACAGAAAGGTCTGCTACTCAATACGCACATAATTTAACCTTTGCATGCCCCTCTTCTCCCAAATTCCCTTCTTCATTCCTGCCAACCCGCAGCAGATATTGACTTTCTTGATTTGTCAGCTTCTAATTATATTACACTCTTCTTTCTCCCTCAGGATAAGGAGATAAATTGGAATTTTAAAACCACATGCAACATGAGGGAATGGATGAAGCACAACCAGACAGAGTGCAGGAGGAAATTGTGAGCTGCTTTTCTCCTTTCCTCTCCATATTTTTCATTTCACTGTCCTCATTCACACACAGTAATTACATTCTAATTTTCCTGCAGCTCACACAATAGTTAAAGTGAAGCGAGCAATCGTTGCAAACTTCTGACTGTAAAGCATATGAAGTTGTCAGAGATGCTATAGGGCATCAAAGCCAAATTGTTAGTTTCTGCCCTAGACGTAGATGATGCAGGATGCTGTCATTTGAGAGGTAGGATTTACTTAGCCTCTGATCTGCCATGCTGCACTAAAAATGGTAGGTTTTGCTAAAGCTTTGGGAAGTTCAAATACATCTACAGCAGAAATGGAGCAACAAACTGTCATATCTTGGATGTGTCCAATTCAAAACCAAGACAGCTGGACCGTGAAAGAGAGTGAGAACTCACTGATGATTCCACAGGTCAAAGGCGTTGCTCTTCTGCCATTAAAATTCTTCTCTTTTTATTTTAACTTTATGCTCTATCATGTTTCCGCAAACCAACTGTGACACAGGGGCACACTCGGGGCTAGGTCTCATGCCGGCCTGCCCACCTGTTTCTATGGGGCAGTCTGCCCAGTGTCCCCTGCCACGACTTGGCTGTTCCCATAAGCTGGTGGCATAATGCGGGAAGCTGCCCATTCCCAGCTCCGATGCCAGGGGGCACTGTCTGCAGCTGTGAACCTCCCCTAAACCATAGCCCATGCCTCACAGATGGCATCTCAGTTCTTAGCATTTCTGGCCCCACACTGGGCCCCATAACTCTCCAGTCTGGACCCCAACTAGATCTCTTCCCATCAGGCGGCCTACTCCGCCCTCATTCTGAGCTGATTAGCTCCTTGCACTCTTCCCCCTCTCAGGTGTGGCCCCCCGGGATCTTTGGCCACACAGGCCCTAGCCTCACCTCCAAGGCCAGTCAGAACCCCAGGCCCCTGTCTCTGGGCATCCCTGTCAGTGGGCCCCTGGCCTTTTTGACCCTTCTGGTCCCAGCCCCAGCATTGACCAGTCGAGGGTGCCTCAAGTCAGACTTCTGAGCATCTAGCCCACACTCTCTAACACGGGTCTGCCTTCTTGGGCCCTACTGTGGGGTAACCCACCCAATTGTGGGAGCTGGGGTTATTAAGGTGCACCAACCCACCTTTCACCGGGGTGGTAACTGCCCTGGCATTTCCTGGGGGCTCCCACACCACTAAGTGCCCCACCAGGCTACCCATCCCCAGCAGGGTGCAGTTTTAGGTCATGCCCAGGACCAAGAGCCACCTGCTCTTACCTGCTAGATGTTCCATACAGCAGTTCAGCCAGGCAATATCTCTGCCTGCTGCCAGCAGCAAACTACTGTCTTTATATAGCTAGCCTGTGTTCTAAAATGCAATCAGGCACCTGCTGGCTGCCTCACTCAACCCTAAAAGTGGCAAGCACTCAAAGATGAGCCAATGATGTAAAATAAGGTGCTGTCTTACAAATACTTCAAGTGGTTGGGAGGCCACCTGAGACCAAAATAATTAATTAATTTATAATTTACTTTGAAAATATACATGGCTTTACTGTTTCCAGACTTTTCCCTGACCTTGCTGATCACACCAGGAATCACATGGTCTCAGCAGGCTTCTTAGGCTTGCTCTTTAGCTACTTTCCTAGGTAACCTATGTTCTAATAAGTAAACTGCACACTGGATAATGGATTAAAAGGTGCTACATTAGTTGCAGAATAAACTGCCATTGAGTTCTAATGTGCTTCTGACACAGCAGTGGCTGGTAGGGGCTGATGGAGAAGTTTGTTTTTTTTTAATGCATAAGAAAGTATGCCAAAACACATACTTTTGCAAAACAGGCTATTCATACCAGTGATATCCATAGCAGATCCGATTCTCCTTTCTCTCATACCAGGGGAATACCAGAACTTTGAGGTCCCGTGACCCTGTCAAAACCTCTCAGCCATAAGTACCTTGATGTTGTAAGAAGTCCTAGTGTGTAAGCAGTTTGGGGGTCTGGGATGGGGACAAGTGAAGTTCATGGGGTCAAGAATAAATACCATGTGTCCTTGTGTTTAGGGACTGATATGCTTAAGGTCTTTTTAGTACTGGGAACTGTATACACCTGTAATGCAGGCTCCTTCAAGAATCAGGCATACTGCTAAGGAAGGAACCTTACTGCACATGGCAATCCCTGCCGGAAGCCCTTCTGGGTGTCCCTGCTAGAGGTCTCAGTTATTCACTAGGTCTCTCTGTTGCAGGGTTCCAGACAGCCAGTGGTACAGACCCAGCCAGGCCAGCTTTGTCCCAGGCAGTCTCCTATACCAGGGGAGTCAAGGCTGGCTTCAGTAAGATTCTTGCCTCTTGTGTGCCATTGATTTCAAGGCCAGGAGAATTATGATCAGCTAGTCTTACCTCCTGCATAATACAGACCGGAGAATGTTATCCAGTCATGTCTGTAGCCAGCCTATAGCTTGTAGTTGAATGAGAACATTATTTTAGAAAGGGACTGACACGACCTTTAAAAAATACAAATTGTGAAAAAGACCCTGCTACCCCAGGTAAGCAGCTCCAGGGGTTAAATGCTCCAAGATGTTGGGGGCTAGGGGAAACAGCGTCTCCCCCCAACCCTTCTGGTTCCCCCTAGTGAGTTTATAGACGGTCACCAGGTCCCCCCTCAGCCTTCTCTTGTGGAGGCTGAATAGGTTCAAGTCCCGCAGTCTCTCACTGTAGGGTCTGCCCTGTTGTCCCCGGATCATGCGGGTGGCCCTCCTCTGGACCCTCTCCATGTTGTCCACATCCCTCCTGAAATGGGGCACACAGAACTGGACACAATACTCCAGCTGCGGCCTGACCAGCATCGCATAGAGGGGGAGGATCACCTCCCTGGCTCTACTCGAGATGCACCTGTGGATGCACGACAAGGTCCGGTTAGCCCTGCCAACCATGACCTCGCATTGTCGGCCCATGTTCATCTTGGAGTCAATAATGACACCAAGATCCCTTTCCACCTCCGTGCTCTCAAGTAGGGAGCTCCCCATCGTATAAGTGTGCTGCTGGTTCCTACTACCCAAGTGCAGCACCCTGCACTTGTCCGTATTGAAACACATCCTGTTCCTGTTTGCCCACCCCTGTAACCTATCCAGATCCTTCTGCAATCTCTCTCTCCCTGCTAGCGTGCTCACCTCCCCCCAAATTTTGGTGTCATCAGCGAATTTAAACAGGTTGCTTTCCACCCCAACATCAAGATCGCTGATGAAGAAATTGAACAGCGCAGGCCCCAGGACCGAGCCCTGGGGGACTCCACTACCCACCTCCCCCCAAGTCGAGTATGATCCATCCACCACCACCCTCTGAGTGCGACCCTTCAGCCAATCTGCAATCCATCTGACCGTGTAGGCATCTATGCCACAGTCGCCTAGTTTATTAATTAGGATGGGGTGAGAGACGGTGTCAAAGGCCTTGCTGAAGTCCAGAAAGACTACATCCACCGCGACACCTGCGTCCATGGCCTTTGTGACCTGATCATAAAAGGCAATCAGGTTGGTCTGACATGATCTCCCCCTAATAAATCCATGCTGATTGCCCCTGAGCATCATCTCGGATGCCGGCCCATCACAAATGTGCTCCTTGATGATCTTCTCAAAGAGCTTCCCCAGGATTGAGGTAAGACTGACGGGCCTATAATTGCCCGGGTCCTCCCTTTTCCCTTTTTTGAAGATGGGGACCACATTAGCTACCTTCCAATCATCTGGCACCTGGC